TTGTACTTGAGTAAAAGTAGAAGTACTCAGATCTTGTACTTGAGTAAAAGTAGAAGTACTCAGCTCTTGTACTTGAGTAAAGTAGAAGTACACAGATCTTATACTTGAGTAAAAGTAGAAGTACTCAGATCTTGTACTTGAGTAAAAGTAGAAGTACTCAAATCGTGTACTTGAGTAAAAGTAGAAGTACAAAGATCTTGTACTAGAGTAAAAGTAGAAAGAAAGAAATCAAAAGTCTGTGTGAGATTTTGTACTTGAGTAAAAGTAGAAGTACTCGGGTCTTGTACTTGAGTAAAAGTCTGTGTTTCCTGTCTGTCCAGCAGGGGTCGCCCTTCCTGCAGTTGAGGAAGTCGTCTTCGGTTCAGAGTATTGTGTCGGAGCGTAAGAAGAAGAAGAAGGATCGCTCTGCGGACTACAGACGAGCCGCTGAGCCGTACGTTTCCTGTTAAGACTTAAAGCTCACCTATTATGCTATATTTGAACAATATATTATAGGGCCATATCTATACAAAACATGTCTCTGAAGTGCTTTGCTCAAAATACCAAACAGATCACCCATTCTAGCCTCATCCCCCTCTATTTCAGCCCTGTTACTAAAGTGCTGATTCTGGGTCTGTAGCTTTACAAAAAGAGCTCATTCAGGAGAATTCTAGCAGCAGAAACTCAGCTAAATGCTGCCGTGATTAAACGCCATATTATGTTCCAAACTACATCAAGGATGGCTGATGTAAACAAAGACCATATTACTTCCAGAACAGTAATGTCGTCATGACGCAGCAAATCTGGATCAGCTCCGTTGTTCCCCCGTTTTAGAGATGTGGGTATAGGCGGCGAAGCTCCCCCTAGGATAGCCATAGCACCCCCTAAGCACCCCCAAGAGATGTCTGAGCGAGAGAGAGCGCAGCGGTGCCAGGGATTTTTTGTTGTTAGCATCTGGTTAGCTAGCTGCACAACGGATATAAGGAGCTGGTTCCACAACAAGCTGGAGGAGAGTCCTCTCCTGTCAGACTGAGAGTCCTCTCCTGTCAGACTGAGAGTCCTCTCCTGTCAGACTGAGAGTCCTCTCCTGTCAGACTGAGAGTCCTCTCCTGACAGACTGAGAGTCCTCTCCTGTCAGACTGAGAGTCCTCTCCTGACAGACTGAGAGTCCTCTCCTGTCAGACTGAGAGTCCTCTCCTGTCATACTGAGAGTCCTCTCGTGTCAGACTGAGAGTCCTCTCCTGTCAGACTGAGAGTCCTCTCCTGACAGACTGAGAGTCCTCTCCTGTCAGACTGAGAGTCCTCTCCTGTCAGACTGAGAGTCCTCTCCTGTCAGACTGAGAGTCCTCTCCTCTCTGACTGAGAGTCCTCTCCTGTCTGACTGAGAGTCCTCTCCTGTCAGACTGAGAGTCCTCTCCTCTCTGACTGAGAGTCCTCTCCTGTCTGACTGAGAGTCCTCTCCTCTCTGACTGAGAGTCCTCTCCTGTCTGACTGAGAGTCCTCTCCTGTCAGACTGAGAGTCCTCTCCTGTCAGACTGAGAGTCCTCTCCTGTCAGACTGAGAGTCCTCTCCTGTCAGACTGAGAGTCCTCTCCTGACAGACTGAGAGTCCTCTCCTGTCAGACTGAGAGTCCTCTCCTGTCAGACTGAGAGTCCTCTCCTGACAGACTGAGAGTCCTCTCCTGTCAGACTGAGAGTCCTCTCCTGTCAGACTGAGAGTCCTCTCCTGTCAGACTGAGAGTCCTCTCCTGTCAGACTGAGAGTCCTCTCCTGTCAGACTGAGAGTCCTCTCCTCTCTGACTGAGAGTCCTCTCCTGTCTGACTGAGAGTCCTCTCCTGTCAGACTGAGAGTCCTCTCCAGTCAGACTGAGAGTCCTCTCCTGTCAGACTGAGAGTCCTATGACAGAAAAACAAGAATACAGTTTAAAAGGGGAGTGATTTGTAAAATATCCATGAAGAAAAAGTAAATCTGTTTAAAGTTCTGTTTCATATCTGTTGAGAGAGGTATCCATAGATCTCTTCGTGTTGCCCCCGGACCCCCTAGAGGAGGTGAGGACCCCCCTAGAGGATGTTAGGTCCACCCCCCACTTATAAAAAAATAGCACTTTACCCCTGCTTACACCTAGCCTATGAGCTGATTATCCAGCCTTCATTGTAACAGTCGCGGGTGCCCTGTGTGTGTGTGTGTGGAGTGTTGCAGTAGAAAACTCCACCGATACATTAATGGGAAACCCTAAATATTTGAGCACCCTCTATGAAACGTCAAGCTACCCCACAGCACCCCCAAAAGAAAATCTCTGGCGCCGCCACTGGATGTGGGTACGGAGGAAAAGAGAGAGGGTTTTGTTTTCTGACACTTTGTGAGTCTCCTGACACACCGGGGACACACCGGGGACACACCGGGGTCACACCGGGGACACACCGGGGACACACGGGGACACACCGGGGTCACATGGTGATGTAGATAAAGACATCAGAAAGTGCATTTTGCATAATAGGGGACCTTTAAGATTAAGACTGGTGAAGGAATGAGTCAGCGTTATGAGTCCTAAGTCGTCCTCTCTCTCCTCAGGTTCTCTCAGAGGTCTCTCACCCTGCAGGACGTGGGTTCTCCGTCCTCAGTGCGCTGCGTGGGGCGGGTTCTCCAGGTTTCTGCTGACGGCTCGGTTCTGTTGGAGCTGATCCGACCGAGCAGCAGAACGTTCGGATTCATCGTCAGCCGGGGGAGGGGCCGCAGGGACTCAGGTACTGGAGATACTACTGAACATACAGCAAATACTGCTGCAAATACTACTGAAAATACTGCTATAAATACAAACAATTCTACTACTATTACTGCAATTACTACTCCAAATACTGCTGAAAATACTGCTGACAATATTGCTGAAAATACAGCAAATACTGATACTAATAGTACTCTCTGTACTGCAGGTGTGTATTAACAGTGTAGTACTCTGTGTAGTAACAGTGTAGTACTCTGTGTACTGAAGGTGTGTATTAACAGTACTCTGTGTACTCAGGAGTGTACTAATAGTACTCTGTGTACTGTGTCTAGGAGTGTACGTGGAGGACATGCTGGACCTCAGCACAGAGAAGCTGTTCTCAGGTCTGCTCTCAGTGGGAGATGAGTTCCTGGAGGTCGCCGGGCAGAAAGTGTCGGCTCTGACTCTGGATCAGGTGACCCGGCTGCTGACCCAGAACACCGTCACCACCGTCAGGGTACTACGCACACCGCCACGCTGACACCACAGAAGAAGAGAGGCCATCAATACAGCTGATTACCACAGAAGAAGAGAGGCCAACCAGACAGCTGATCACCACAGAAGAAGAGAGGCCAACAAGACAGCTGATCACCACAGAAGAAGAGAGGCCAACAAGACAGCTGATCACCACAGACAGTTTATAAGCCACAGAATAATTTTTAAATTATATCGTTTCACTATAATTGAACATTAATTGAACTTTAAAGCAGCGTCATGATATCAGCTGTTAATCTCATGTAATACATCCTGTTTTCTTAAATTCAGAAAAAGTCTGAATTTTCTGATTCTGAGAAAAAGGTCTGAATTTTAGGAAAACTGTTGAATTCTGAGATTTTCAAAGAAAGTCAGAATTTTCAGAAAACCCTAACCCTCCACGCTGAACACCACAGAAGAAGAGAAACCATTGTTTACAAAGGCAGCTTATAAACCACAGAATAATTTTGAAATGATCTTGTTTTCACTTTAATTGAACATGAATTGAACTTTAAAGCAGCGTCATGATATCAGCTGTTAATCTGAAGTATTACATCCTTTAAGTGTTTTCTTAAAGAACCTTTAGGACCTTATTAATGTAAATAAAAATGTGTTTCTGATTTTAACCTTTGTGCCTCTTCAGACCTGCTGTATATATAAACTTAACTAATGTTATTTAACACATAAACATTAAACATTTAAACTTCTGCAGTATTTATGTATAGTTTACATGTATTTTTATGTTTGTTTATCATTTCTGACAAATAAAGAAACAACTTGCAAATCTTGTTGAGAAAAAACATTAATATTTTGTTGTTAAATAATTGATTCTCTGTAAATTAAAGTTAAATGTTATTTATTATGTTTGTTTGTATTTAAGTTGGCCTCTAAGATCAGTGAATGTGATACTAACATTTTGAGAAAAAAGTCTGAATTTTTTGGTTTTTTGAAAAAAAAGTCTGAATTTTTTGATTTTGAGAAAAAAGTCTGAATTTTTTGATTTTTTGAAAAAAGTCTGAATTTTTTGATTTTGAGAAAAAAGTCTGAATTTTTTTATTTTTAGAAAAAAGTCTGAATTTCTTTTATTTTTAGAAAAAATTTCAGAATTTTTTGATTTTTTGAAAAAAGTCTGAATTTTCAAATTCTGAGAAAAAGTCTAAAATTTCAGATTTTCAGAAAATAAGTAAAGTTAAGAAACATTGATATATTTATTTCTAAATTCAAAACTTCTCTATTTATGAAAATCTGATAAATATAATTTTGTTCAGGAATTTCAACCTAAGGATTAATTGCTGAGAATACTTAAAGGTGGGGTAGGTAAGTTTGAGAAACCGGCTCGAGTGCGCTAGAATTTGAAAATACACAACCAGAGAAAATCTGCCACTTCCTTATAGAGCCCCTCCTCCAACACACACACGCGCACATGACCAATGAGGGCACGAGATAAGTTTGTGCACAGATGGAAGGCTGACAGGCAGGTAGGCCGTCCAGTTATTTTAGCCGGGCCGGCTCAGATGATTGGTCGTGCTTTTCACAGTACTACAGCTTCCACAGATGATATTTATTTATGGATTTTTTGTCAAAGCACTTCAGATATTCATTGCTATCGGGATGTTAAGAGCATTCCATGGAATATAAAAAGTGTATCTCGAGCCGGTTTCTCAAACTTACCTACCATACCTTTAATTGCTGAATTGATGAATACTTAATTGTGTTGTGAAATTAATTGTAAAACAACTTGATGGATTTATGGAGAGTGAGAACAGATCCAAAGTCAGTCTGTTAATAATCTTTGTATTTATAGACTTTATTTGCAACAGTCAGTTTTATTTAGTTAAAACAGGAAACGCGTTCATTACCACCGTGCGTACCGTGAATCTGATAATGTGGGACACAACAAAAAACAATAAAATAAACTGAAATAAAACATTAAACATAAAAAGATTCAGTCAGTAAAACAAAACACGCAAACTGTAAACAAAAACAGGAAGTTTTAGTGTTATTACTCTTTTTCCACGAACCGTTAAATTAATTTCAACCGCAGACTAAACTAAAAAACAGGATTAAAGGTACATTAAAGAGAGTTAAACCAGGATTAAACCATATTTGAACTGCAGTTAAAAAAGGATTTAACCTGAAATTGAGCCGAGTTTAATTTGGGTTTAAATCAAGATTAAACCTGAATTTAACCAGAGTTAAACTGGAGTTGAAGAATGATTAAATCAAGAATAAACTGGAATTAAACCACATTTTAACTCAACGAGAGTTAAACCTGAAACTAAGAATTCAATCTGATTAAAACCATAGTTGGACTAGAGTTGAGTCTTGATCAAACGGAGTTAAACCAGGATTACAATTATGGTGGTAACATGATTAAATATGAATTGCACTAGAGTTGAACCTGAAATGAACCAGAGTCAAACCAATTAAATTAAACGGAGATAAAATGATGTTAACATGGAGTTAAAATAACAGAGTTAAATACTGAGTTGGAAATACACTTATCTTTAAGTTATACTTAGTTAATGTCAAGATTCAAGCGGAGTTAAACACTTTAAAGTAGTTACACTGAAGGTATATAGATATACTGGAGTCAACGGTTATGATTAAGTCCAGCTTGGATTGAAGTTCAACTGGTTTGAAAACAGAGTAAACATGAAGTGGTTTTCAAAGTAGAGTAAACATGGATTTAAAGTGGTTTTCAAAAAAGAGTTTCAGTCGAGTGGAATTTTTTTTTTTCAGCCCTTAAATAAAACAAACAGGATTCTTTAACACACATCAAACCTGGTTCCACCTGGTCTGACCTCCACATGATTAACAGTCAGACATTCAGAGAACCAAAAAGTGCCTTCAGTCGACTCAGCAGAAAACAGACAGACAACGAGATCAGGAGAGTCCGGTAGAGTCCGGTGGAGTCCGGTGGAGTCCGGTAGAGTCCGGTAGAGTGTGGTAGAGTCCGGTAGAGTCCGGTAGAGATCAAGAGAGTCCGGTAGAGTCTGGTAGAGTCCGGTAGAGTCCGGTGGAGTCCGTTGGAGATCAGGAGAGTCCGGTAGAGTCTGGTTGAGTGTGGTAGAGTCCGGTAGAGTCCGTTGGAGATCAGGAGAGTCCGGTAGAGTCCGTTGGAGATCAGGAGAGTCCGGTAGAGTCCGGTGGAGTGTGGTAGAGTCCGGTAGAGTCCGGTAGAGATCAGGAGAGTCCGATAGAGTCCGGTGGAGTCCGGTAGAGTCCGGTAGAGTCCGTTGGAGATCAGGAGAGTCCGGTAGAGTCCGGTGGAGTGTGGTAGAGTCCGGTAGAGTCCGGTAGAGATCAGGAGAGTCCGATAGAGTCCGGTGGAGTCCGGTAGAGTCCGGTGGAGTGTGGTAGAGTCCGTTGGAGATCAGGAGAGTCCGAGAGAGTCCGGTGGAGTCCGGTAGAGTCCGGTAGAGTCCGATAGAGTCCGGTGGAGATCAGGAGAGTCTGATAGAGTCCGGTAGAGTCCGGTAGAGTCCGGTGGAGTGTGGTAGAGTCCGTTGGAGATCAGGAGAGTCCGAGAGAGTCCGGTGGAGTCCGGTAGAGTCCGGTGGAGTGTGGTAGAGTCCGGTAGAGATCAGGAGAGTCCGATAGAGTCCGGTAGAGTCCGGTAGAGTCCGGTAGAGTCCGGTGGAGTGTGGTAGAGTCCGTTGGAGATCAGGAGAGTCCGAAAGAGTCCGGTGGAGTCCGGTAGAGTCCGGTAGAGTCCGATAGAGTCCGGTGGAGATCAGGAGAGTCTGATAGAGTCTGGTTGAGTGTGGTAGAGTCTGGTAGAGTCTGGTAGAGTCCGTTGGAGATCAGGAGAGTCTGATAGAGTCTGGTAGAGTCCGTTGGAGATCAGGAGAGTCCGGTAGAGTCCGGTGGAGTGTGGTAGAGTCCGGTAGAGTCCGGTAGAGATCAGGAGAGTCCGATAGAGTCCGGTGGAGTCCGGTAGAGTCCGGTGGAGTGTGGTAGAGTCCGTTGGAGATCAGGAGAGTCCGAGAGAGTCCGGTGGAGTCCGGTAGAGTCCGGTAGAGTCCGATAGAGTCCGGTGGAGATCAGGAGAGTCTGATAGAGTCCGGTAGAGTCCGGTAGAGTCCGGTGGAGTGTGGTAGAGTCCGTTGGAGATCAGGAGAGTCCGAGAGAGTCCGGTGGAGTCCGGTAGAGTCCGGTAGAGTCCGATAGAGTCCGGTGGAGATCAGGAGAGTCTGATAGAGTCTGGTTGAGTGTGGTAGAGTCTGGTAGAGTCTGGTTGAGTGTGGTAGAGTCTGGTAGAGTCTGGTAGAGTCCGTTGGAGATCAGGAGAGTCTGATAGAGTCTGGTAGAGTCTGGTAGAGAAAGTTGGAGATCAGGAGAGTCCAGTTCAGTCAAATAGGGTCTGGTAGAGGTACAATAGAAACCAGTAATGTCAGGTGGAGTCCAGTCGAGTCCAATGGGGGCCTGTAGATTCCGGTGGGGTGTGATAGAGTCCGGCTGAGTCTGGTAGAGTCCAGTTCAGTCAAATAGGGTCTGGTAGAGGTACAATAGAAACCAGTAGTGTCTGGTGGAGATCTTCTAGAGATCAGTAGAGTCGGGTAGAGTCCAGTCGAGTCCAATGGGGGCCTGTAGAGTCTAGTAAAGTCCGACAGAGTCCGACAGAGTCGATTGTCAGGTGGAGTGGGATAGAGTCCGACAGAGTCCAGTAGACAGATTGATGAGTGCTGACAGGAGGAGGCCTCAATCAGAGGATGAAGAAGAGGAGGAGGACGATGAACAGGATTCCAAGCAACACACCGATAGCACACCACTGACGACGATCTGTGGGAAAACATACTGTTAATAAATATCAACTAATTAACTACAAGCTCAAACCACGAGCATCCATTGTGTTATTTCTGTCACTGCTGCAGTATGAGGGCCGTTTACCGCTGGTCATGTGCGACACCTTAGCCAGTTTCTTCATGACATTGTCCAATCTGGAGTGAGTGTTGTCCACCTCATGAGTGAAGTCATCCAGCATCCTGCAAGAAAACCCACAAAGACTCATCAAGTCCGGCCCGATGAGCTCGAGTCAAAACATTTGCTTTGTCAGCTAACCGAATATCATATTTTAAAACATATTTCTTGGCATTTAGCCGTGAAAAAACCTGTTTTCTGCAAACAAAGGGAGGCATGCACTGCCAAGTTATTTACATTAAAGAAATTACATTTAATAAGATGAATAGTTTTATTGATTCAGAAGGTTTTTTTGCTCCGTCACGGCCGCTCTGGGCTCAGTCACGTGAACGGAGAGGATACAAAACTCTGGATTCGGCTTTTAGCGCATCTGGGACTTCAAAGACGTAATGATTTAAAAGTAGGGATACTCAAGGGTTCGTACTGGGTAGTTTAATGACCTCAAAATAAATTATACGCTGGTTTACAGACGTCTCTTTCCCAGTGCAAGTCTATGGGAAACTTGTTTTTGGGCCCAATGACGTCAGGAGACTCACGGAAGTTGTAGTCCCAACTTTTGGCCACTTTTAGAAATGTCGCTTCAACACCAGGTGCTTTTTTTACCCTTACTTTCTGTCCTTGTCCCTCACTTCCTGTCCTTGTCCCTTACTTCCTGTCCTTGTCCCTCACTTCCTGTCCTTGTCCCTCACTTCCTGTCCTTGTCCCTCACCTGCTTTTCATGTCCCTCAACAACTGAGCTACACGCCTTTTTTGACCATGCTAACTTTTGCCTACAGAAACTGACCAAAATGTATTTGTCTGATTGGTCCTAGAAGACCTAAAAGTGTATTCTTTAGAAATGAACTTCACTTACCCCATTCTCATATAACCTCAAAAAACCTACCATACCCTCACTCTAACCTCCAGGACAGTACACTATCCTGATGAAACCTCCAAGGACCCACTCTATCCTATCCTACAGTCATCTCCAACCTACCCTATCCTTTTATTCCTTCAAGGCCCTACCCAGTCTGTTGCCTCCCGGGACAAACCGAACGTAGAGCATAAGTCCTTACACAGACTGCTCATCCAGCTCCATGCCGATCCTCTCCGACATGTTCTTCAGGACTCCGATTGTTCCCGACACCAGCTCCAGCTGTTCGTCCTGCTGCTCTGCAATCATCTGATACAGACACACATTATCATGCTTTGTTTGAATCCAGCAGGTACCCAAAACATCCCCATAGTGCGTCATCGCTCAGAGCGCTGTTATTTATTTATTTATTTATTCACTTATTTAACAGGGACAGTGCACATTAAATCAACATTTCTGTAAATGTGCCAAGAGGCTATTTTTCATCTGTAGTCCCTGGACAGATTTTGTAAGTCAACCTAAAGACACATTTAATTTTAAGTAAATACACTCAAATAAAAACATGCAACATACAGTACTGGAAATCTTAATGCAACCTTTTTTGTCTCGTGTACCCCTTGAGCTGGTCGTCATTCTATAAGAAGCCCCTCACTCATCTGTGATAATCGGCCTACATCTTTTTGTGTATTAAACCCTTCGTATCGTGTTTAACCCAACTGCTCCTAAATGAAATCACTTGTATAACTCACATTCAATACAAGTCCATTTAAACTTGAAATGTCCACTTGTTGTCAGGTAAAAAAAGTATGTTAAGACTCACTACTTATTTAGGAAGCCAATAATGTCTTTTTTTTTTAGGAGAAGCCCCCTCCCCCTCTGAACAGCCACTTGTATCCGTCATATTTGAAAAGAAACATTATTTTCTGTATTCATGTAAGACAAAAGTTATTTATTTATTTGGCGATGACTTGCGCTATTTTTAGAACGCCAGGCACCTGCGTTCCCGCCTCTCGGCTCCGTAGAATGAATGGAGAGAAATTAAATCTGGATTCAGCTTTAGTGCATTTTACAACTTTAAGGCCCGAATGATTCTAATAAGGGTTATAAAAGTGTTCGTGCTGGATAGTTTATTTAGTTAAAAAAAATTATCAGCTGATTTGCAGACGTCTCTTTCCCCATGTTAGTCAATGGGAAAAAGTCTTTCTGGGCCGGGTGACGTCACGGACTGATACGGAAGGTGTAGTACCGCCGTTCAGCCACTATAAATATTTTCCTCAGAGTCCGGAGCACTTCCTGGGGGCTTGATGTAAGAAGGCAAGCATTTGCATCGGCTGTATCATGGCTCCAGTGTTTGTGTACCTGCTGCTGGCCCTGCTGCTCCTCGATGCACTGAGAGTTGGCGTTCTGCAGCTGGCTGTCCAGGCGGCTGTATTTGTTACCTCCGGGCTGCCAGATCGGACCTGAAGGGCCGCGCTCACCGAGAAGAGCCTGGACACAACAACACACACACACTGTCAGACATCTTACGTTTTGCAGCAGCTTCGGCTGACAAAAGGTACGAATATGAGGGAAAATCGCATCAAAAACTCAACCCTCGACCAGGGAAACTCATGAGAACACAGGATTTTGGTTCCAAGGTTCGTTGTCCTTTGCTTACAATGACAGGAAATATATATTTTTTCCATATCCAAAAACGTATTTCCCCTTCAATGTACCTGCCCTTCCCTCACTGTAACCTCAAGGGACTTATCTATCCTATCACTTCCAAAGCCCTACCATACCCCAAATATGTTCATTTCATTCATTTCTTATTTTAAAAGTTACTTAGCTGTATATCATTTTAATTGTATTAATCTTTAAGCTTGTGTGAATATGTGCTGTCCTGTTTTTCCTTCTGACCCTGTTGATGTTTAAACTACTGAATTTCCCCACAGTGATTAATAAAGGTCCATCTTATCTTATCTCTTACATCAGGACCTACCCTACCTTGTTCATATATAAACTCCAAGGACCAACCCTACCATCATATTCTTTTGAGGACCTGGCCTACCTGGTCTATAACCTTCAGGGACTTTTCTTACCTTCAACCCTTAAGAGTTAAGGCAACTATAGGGGGTCTGTTTGGGTCTCTTGTTTGAGGCTTTTCTAAAGGCTTTTGGTAACAGTTCCAGTATAAAAGTACCCCTGTGGTCAGTTACCTGGTGGTTCTTTCTGTCCCCTGAAGACGCACCTGGACTCGACATCTGTTCTTTCATTTCCTTCAAGACAAAAAAGGACAGTCAGCAGCCAATCAGATCGTTTGGAATCAAATCAGACACTAGCAGTTCAGCGTGAAGACTAACGGCAACTAGGGATGTCACAATACCAGAATTTAAATCAATACCAATACCAGTGAAATTTGAATACCCAATTCTGGATTCGGCTTTTAGCGCATTTTACAACTTTAAGGACCTAATGATTCTAATAAATGTTAGTCAAAGAGAAAAAGTATTTCTGGGCCGGGTGACGTCACGGACTGACACGGAAATTGTAGTACTGCCGTTTGGCCACTACGAATATGTTCTTCAGAGTCCGGAGCACTTCCTGGGGGCTTGGTGTTCAGTTTGTTTTATAAAACACTGACTCCTCACCTGAGCACGGAGGTGAGTTTTACCTGATGTAAGTGAAGCTTACCTTGACCGTCTGCCTGGTGCTGGTGATGAAGGCTTTCCTCTTCAACAGTTCTGCCATGTCCAGGTTGAACTTCTTTGGGTTGGACTCGACGATGCGTTCACAGACAGTTAAGAAAAACACTCATCTTTCACAGGTTAACACTTCACATCTCTGATCTCTACAACACGTCAGGGTGTCGTGGATCCGATGTGAACACTCACAACATTAAACAAAGAGGAATCAATAAAACACAGACAGAGAGATGGTTGAAGTTAAATAGTATATTGCTGTACAGCACAATAAGAGACACATTACCTTGCAACAAAGCAGTCAATAGCGTAATGTCCCTACAGTCTAAGGGGAATCTCAGAGCTTATATGCACCTCAAACTGCATCCGTAGTTAAACTTTTCTTGACCTCTGTCCCCTCTGTCTTTAAATAATTCTAGGTTTCACGACCCTTTTCTCTGCTGACACCTTACATGCTAATGTTGGCTCCTAGGTATGCCTCCTTTTGGAAACTAAATGGATACTCACTAGTATGGCTTGAAACACATGATTTTATAAAACAGATTCTACAAGGGTTTTAAAGGATATTGATGGTCTCGTCCAGGTCCTCCAGGTCCCACTCGATGGAGCGCAGACTGTTCCTCAGCTCATTGGTCGTCCAGTCCATTTCCTCCTTGGAGGCCCCGCCCCCTTCCTGCAGCAGCTCGCTCCATCTGTGGTGGAGGCTCTGTGCTGCGTTCACTGCCTTCTGAACCTCCCTGTAACAAACATCATAACACATCTGTGAGGCGTTCACTGCCTTCTGCATGACAGAAGTAGGTAGCTAGTTATCTTCTTTAGCCCTAAAGCTATCGGTCCTATTGGCTGACTAAGCCTGTCATGCTTGAAATACTAGGCATCTAGTTTTTTATTTCACTGAACTTTAAATGTTATATATTGATAATTAGACAGCAGGTAAATGAAGGACATTCATTTCGAGGGATTTGTACTTGAGGAATTTCAGTTTTCTGCTACTGTATACTTCTACTGCAGTAAATCTCAGAGGTGAACTGCTTTTATCTATCAGCTTACATTACTGGTAACTTTATACATTACAAACTAATTTGATATACACATGATGTAGGAATAATAATGTATCCATAACTGTACAATGTTTACAATTCCATCTTAATCAGTAAAGTGCAATATTAAAATGCTCTCATATGTATTCGCTAGTGTTGAAAACAGAATAATATAACATTCTGTAATTCTAATGTAAAGGTATTGTTTCTAAATAGACAGACAGACAGACAACAGTAATATAGACATAATACACATAGTAGTAACATAACGAGTAACACTACGTTTACTTGCTGAAAATACTCAGTATTTTTACTGAAGGGACATTTTGAATGCAGGTCCTCTTCCAGAGTGTTTCTACTGTTATTCAGGAATATGATTTATGTAATTAACGGACAATACTGTGACCCTGAACAGTGACTGTAACTCAGTGCTAACATCATAGCAACATGCTAACCGGCTAACTCACTCACAACACACTGGGAGCTAACATTAGCTTAGCAGTTAGCCTGCTGTTATTCCCTGTTAATAACCTGCTGTTTTAATCGATCATTGATCAGCTCTCCTCTGTCTACATGGTAAAACTAGAAGCTACCCTGCTGTTAGCATTAGCATTAGCTCGGTTCTGACCCTTTGACGACGAAGAACGGGTCTTCCATAGACATGTTGCTGGTTCTGGTTCAGTCTGATCTCACTGCCATCACACTGCCATCGGCTCCGGATCAAAAAGAACGAACTTCATCCACTTTTCTCTCCGATTCCTCTCAGTTTGTCTCCATCAGAACCGCAGCAGCCGCGGCGCTTTGTTTACATGCAGCGAGGCGACGCTGTGACGTCACACACAGGGCTGGAAGTGTATCACATTACACCAGAGACTGTTTTTATATAAATTAAATATAGAATATATACACAAAATGTTAGTCCTGAAGAGGAAAAAAACATATGAAAAAATCAATAAAATATATTTATAAAATAATTAAAAAATAATGTTAGTCCTGCAGAAGAAAAACTAAATTACACATACTATGGAATATAACAACAATAATTGTAGTCCTGCCATGGGGAAATAACCTTAAACACACTGTAAAATATATTAAAATAATCTTTGACCTGCAATAGAAAAAAACATTACACACACAATAAAATACACAAAACAAGAATGTTAGTGCTGTAGAAGAAGTAAATAACATTTACAGAAAACAGACTTAGTCCTGCAGTGAATACGTAATCAAACATTGATGTGAATAATTCACAATAAACTGTATTTTTGCAAAGAAATAATGTATTATTACCACATTAACAATATATATATATTTTGTATATCTGAGAGTTATCGTCAATGTTGCCATATCTCCCACTATTATATCTCTTATTAAAATAAAGACAATATCAGAATTGTGTAAATCATATGCAGAATACACTTATTTGTATTAAATAACATTCCCCAAAATAAAACATGTATCTTTAGAAGTCCAGCATAAAAAGGAATACTACAGATAATTTCGAGTTGTTGTTTTGTTGTCCTTGTTTGTAACCTACTTTCTTTACTGTACTATACAGATTCTAAACACAACAAAACAGCAGGTGGTGATATTCTCCCATGACACCAAAGAGAAGAAGAGGAAGTATCGCGATACCTCCTTCAACGTGAGTTTGTTTTCTTTGTTGGAGCGTAGAGGAGCTAAGAAGCTAATCTGTCGTTTTTACCGCCTCACAGCAGCAGCTCATCCTTCGTGAATCAACATAACAGACGGTGTCTCACCTGCACGAAACATCTACTGGTAAGAAATATAATGCGTGTTAGCAGTTAGCTGCCCGCGTGAAGCTGCGGAGCTTTTTAGTAAGAGCGGCCGCGGAGCTAACATGTGGCTAACGGCTAACTGTTAGCGGTTAGCCGTTAGAAAGAAAGACATCAGAAATCAGATTGGTTGCTAGGCAGGTTTAAACACAGTTTAAGAAGATACAAAATAAGAAAAACAAGATCTTATACGTTAAGATTGTTATTGCAAAGTACTCAGGATAATAGAATATACGCAGTATTGTTATGGAAAGTGGAAACGTGTGTAGATACTAGAGTAGCTTGTGTAAAAAAAAAGTGCCGTTAGCTCCGTTTGGTACATTTTACATGAGTTTTAACTAAAAAATAACGCTAACCTGGCTAACAACCGTTTACACACTGCTGTTTAAAACCATACTAACCATAACATGACCACAAGCAGTGTATACCTGGCTCTTAGCGGTAAAACACACCAGCGGTGGGAGAAGTACTCAGATCTTGTACTTGAGTAAAAGTAGAAGTATTCAGATCTTGTACTAGAGTAAAAGTAGAAGTACTCAGATCTTGTACTGGAGTAAAAGTAGAAGTACTCAGATATTGTACTTCAGTAAAAGTAGAAGTACTCAGATATTGTACTTGAGTAAAAGTAGAAGTACTCAGATCTTGTACTTCAGTAAAAGTAGAAGTACTCAGATCTTGACCTTGAGTAATAGTAGAAGTACTCAGATCTTGACCTTGAGTAAAAGTAGAAGTACTCAGATCTTGTACTTGAGTAAAAGTAGAAGTACTCAGATCTTGTTCTTGAGTAAAAGTAGAAGTACCAGAGTGTAGGAATACTCTGTTACAGTAAAAGTCCTGCATTCAAAATGTTCCTCAAGTGAAAGTATAAAAGTATTATCATCAAAATATAGTGAAAGTAGCGACAGTAAAAGTAGTCATTGTGCAGATTGGTCCATTTCAGAATAATATATATGATATGTTTTATAATGATTGATCATGAAAGTGTTCTCAAAGCTGGTAAAGGTGCAGCTAGTTTGAATGACTTTGTATACTGCAGGGTAGCTTGTGGATTTACTCTACACAGTATTTGAAGTTTTTTAATTTGCTCCACATTGACCAAATACAATACTAAATGCTAAACATACTGTATATATAATATGTTGTTAACATTCAGTACATCATGTAACACGGTGTTGTGACATCTATCTTTTGCTTTTTGTGTTCCTTTTTCATTGTTGCAAATATTAATATAATAATGTCATAAAATGTAAAAAGAAGTCTGGCAAATGATCTTAAATGATCCCCCTCCCCTCTTAACGCAGTGATCACCTGAGTCATCTCCATGGCCCTAAGACGAGGACACATCCGGTACCTGAAGGTAAGTCCATCACTCAGGTAGAAGTGTGTGTGTGTGTGTGTGTCCTTGAGGTGTGTGTTGTGTGTTAAACTTATCTGTGTGTGTGTTTAAGGTGTGTGAGGTGCAGTCGTCTCAGAGTGACATCAGAGACGGTCAGCACATCCCGAAAGGAGGAGCTGGAAAGGTGAGTGCTGGCTTCTGATTGGCTGAACTGTATTTACTATCACATGTGCAGTCACCTTTTTAAGGAACACTATACCAACATGTGTGTATATGATAATATTGTTTTTTTCCTTCACAATATGTTTATTGGTATTTTCTTATTGAACAAAAACCATGTACATCACTAACACATACACACCCTCAACTTGCACCAGTATTAAAAGCATAGACCTACAAATCAAATAAATAAAACAAAATAATTTCACAGTTTCCTTTCAGAGGCAGTCCACATGCTCATCCCTCATCTGAACAAAGTCCTTCCTCCGCTTGCCCTTAGCGATGTGTGTCAGTCTTTCTAGAGTCTAGACCAACACTACCAGACATGATAACATTGTGTGTGTGTCTCAGGAGCTGTATGATAACGGCTACAGCGAGCAGATGATGGAGGACGACGACTCGAAGACGAACCTGATCGTGAACTACCTGCCGCAGAGCATGAGTCAGGACGAGCTGCGCAGCCTGTTCAGCAGCGTGGGAGACGTAGAGTCTGCCAAACTGATCCGAGACAAAGTGGCAGGTAACCCTGACAGTACGTCTCATAAAACACATTTACTACATTTACACTACAATTGTACAATGAAAGAGTGGTGCACGGATGAGGTATTTCTGTGTTGGTCCCTGAAGGCAGCATCTCCCTGGTCCAATGACATTTCTCCATGTGATTTTGGATTATGTCAGAAAATAATCTCCGTGCCAAACAAACGTTTATGATACGTTTAGTCCAGCAGGATAATCTCCACATGTTAACACCTCTTTATGATTTCTGAAGTAAAAAGCTAATGTTGGGCTATAAAGGAACTACAGCACGGTCACATGACTTCACCTCACCACCGCTAAGCTAAAGGTGGCTAATGTTGGGCTATAAAGGAACTACAGCACGGTCACATGACTTCACCTCACCACCGCTAAGCTAAAGGTGGCTAATGTTGGGCTATAAAGGAACTACAGCACGGTCACATGACTTCACGTCACCACCGCTAAGCTAAAGGAGGCTAATGTTGGGCTATAAAGGAACTACAGCACGGTCACATGACTTCACGTCACCACTGCTAAGCTAAAGGTGGCTAACGTTGACCGTGATGGATGGCGTTTAGTCGTCTCCTTTAGACACTTGTTTGCAAGTCTCCATTTTTAAATTGACCTGTGGGTATTTTATGTTGTAAAACAAAACGTTAAAATCTCCTCAGCTTGACAAGACCTTATTTCAGGATGACAACCAAAAACATATTGAGAAACCCATTGACCAGAGGACAGGAAGTGAGGAAATGTCAGGGGTTTAAGACTCATTCCTGCACCACTCGATATTACTCATGAGTATTTGTAATGATGCTACTGCAGAACTACTGAGATAAGGGTTTGACTTCAAGGGCTTCAGTTCTGATTTATTGTACTTTTATAACAAGTTAGAATTAGGTAAATGCTACTTCCTGGTACTGCTTTGTAGAGTTAGTAGTATTATCAGCAGTAATTCTAGTTGAAGTAATATCTTGCGTATTTCCTGTGTACTCTTTTCTTTCCGGTTTTGAATTTTCTTTTCTGATGTTTATTGATGATTTTTAAATGTTTTGTTTTTAATACAATCTCATTGTAATTTTTGAAGGACAATGCTGTAATATTTTTTTATTTTTTATTATTCTCAATATTTTTTTCCTGCACTGTTGTAATGTTTTTTTTTACTTTTCACACCAGGTTGAATAACAACAGTGTTTGTCAGGTATCTGAGGGTGCTAATCAGGGCTGGGCAATATGTGGATCAATACTCTGTGACAGAACAGGTTTTTTTTTTATCATAACGCCCAACCCATAATAGGCGCTTTCACACCGCAGTACTTTTCCCACAAAGGTTCATCAGAACTCTTTAGTTCTCATGAACTAAGTACAGAACGCGTTCACACCGGGATAAGTCCCTGAGGGAGGATTAGGCAAATGACGCCGCTGACGTCACTTCTTCTTCTTCTGCTTTGGGTTTACTGGCAGGCCGCAAACCACTTCACGGCGTATACTGCCACCCGGAGTCCCCGGCCGGAAGTCCCCGGAGTTGAGGAAGGCTTCAGTAGAAGCTGCTGGGACTCCCAGCAGCTTCTACTGAAGCCTTCAGAGTAAATCTCCAGAACGCCGACACCTCCTCATCTCCACCGCTCCCATGTTTTCTTTTGTGTTGCCATAAGTTAGTCTCTCTGCGTTTCTGCGCTGGGCTAATGCTAATGCTAATGCCAGGATAATAAAATGGCGGCTTCACAAAACTTTTTGGGAGTTTTACGGGGCGTGGTTTGCAATCCGCCCAGCCAATCAGACATAGGAACCTTTTTCTCCCACGAAAGTCCCTGCTCTCTAGCAGGGACGAACAAGGGGGTAAAAAGGTTCTGATGAACTAATTTTAGTTCCGGCTCTTTTTGGTGTGAACGCGACATTTCGGAACTATATCGGAACTAAAGTGGGAAAAGTACTGCGGTGTGAACGCGCCTAATGTCTGTTTTTATTATTTTAACTGAAATGTACAACTGTTTGAATTATGTTTTCACCTGTTTTTTATTTTTCAGGCTTTGAAAATGTCTGTAAATCCTAAACAATGAATGTCCTGATCTTTTTTTATTCTGAATAAGTAAAGGAAACTTATCATTAGATTTATGCACCGAGATTTTCCTCAGAGTGAGCGCTCCTGTTCAAAGGCCATTACCTCTGATATCAAGAATTATATCGTAACTGGAATATTAGTCAAAATAATCGCATATTGCACCCCAAGCCCACAGGAAGTGCTCCGGACTCTGTGCCCAATATCCGTTGTGTCCAAACGGCGGTACGGCAACTTCCGTATCAGTCCGTGACGTCACCCGGCCCAGAAAGACTTTCCCATTGACTAACATGGGGAAAGAGACGTCTGTAAATCAGAGGATAATTTTTTTTAAACTAAATAAACTTCCCAGTATGAACTATCTTATAGCCCTTATTAGAATCATTCGGTCCTTAAAGTTGTAAAATGCACTAAAAGCCGAATCTAGGTTTATTTTCTGTCTCCATTCATTCTACTGAGCCGAGAGTGGGAGCTCGGGGGCGGGGCTTAATGACAGGAGGTGGGGCTTAATGACAGGAGGTGGGGCTTAAGGGGAGCATGCTCTGTGAGCGCACATATGGGGTGTTTCTCAATCGCGAGTACGCTTGCTTGGTAGCACATGTCTTCCGAGTCACTTGCTTCAGAAGCGAGGCAAGAAAAATTCCTGCCATTTGGAAAACGAAGAGTGGAACACGCTAGCAAGTGTGCAGGTGTGCGTCATATGAGAGGCCCCGCCTCCTTACATCTTCCGCCACAGATTTGGGGAAATTGTATGCTTAAAATAGTGGCTCTGGAGCAGCTTTACTCGACATTGAGAAACACCCACGTGTTCTTCTGCTCTGACAGCCAGGCATGCTGGGTAATCTGTGACGTTTCGCTCTCTCAAAAGTTGGGCCATTTTGTCCTCATGCGCCAATGAGCAGCTCTCATAGGAAATAACGAGACCCCGCCTCCCACGCTGTATCCAGTTCTTATTAAACATCCATGAGCCGCACCCTTAGCGTTTTGCAAATGAAGTCCAATCATCGTTATATTTTAACCTTTATTGACACAAAGGTCCGCTGCGCTGTGATTGGTCGCTCTTAACGAGGAGAGGTCTCACTCTGAGGAAATATTCAGTGTTTGAAGTTTTCTCTGTTTGTTCAAAAGATTTTAATGTTCTTACTTTTTCAAAACCTGTACTTTTTTTCACAGTTTTTTTTATTGTCGTTTTGTGAATATCCAGAGTGTGGCGGCTGACACGCAGACAGTTTTATTATTTTATTTTGTTGTTTTCCTTTGTGTTTCTCTAGGCCACAGTTTAGGTTACGGCTTTGTTAACTTTGTTAACGCTAATGATGCAGAGAGGGCTATCAGTACGCTCAATGGCCTGAGGCTACAGTCTAAAACTATCAAGGTAAAGATCCCAGGAGCTCTTTGATTTTCTGTCTCACCTGAAAGATGTGTTATGTTCCCGGACACTAGAGGGCGCTCTCTCCTGCACTGTCTGACGGATGAAGGTATTTTTGAAAACACTGATGTCATTTTTATTTATTTATTTATTTTTTATTATGGACACATGTTGACACTGAATCTGTGAGTTTCTTCAGTTCAGAGTGACAATGTGCCAGACTTTCATTTTCATAAATTAATGCTTTTATTTTGAACAACCTGGATGCTTTTTTTTTTTTGTATATTTAATTTGGGATTTTTTTTTTTATATTTCAATTTTTTCACATTGAATATTTAAACACCAATTTTTAAAATATCTCTGTTTTTTTTTTAAGATGGATGTAACTGTATATTTAATTTGGTAAAATGTTGATTTATTTTTGATGTATTTATTGGAGTTTGTCTGTGAATGCGGCACGCTGAGATGCTTCCCGTCTCCTCTGCAGGTTTCCTTCGCCCGGCCGAGTTCAGACACGATTAAAGACGCGAACCTTTACATCAGCGGGCTGCCGAGGACGCTGAGTCAGCCCGACCTGGAGGACATGTTCAGCCGCTTCGGACACATCATCAACTCCAGGGTGCTCGTGGACCAGGCCTCCGGTAATAACCACCATTAATAATCTTAGTTTAGTGCATTCAATGTCAGGAAATAGAGAAAAAATGTCATCCTAGCCTCTCAAATCGATAAATGAACTTATCATAGCAGTCATTACCAATCATAACCATAACCATAACCCTAGAAATATGTCAGAAATTAACCCCAATATTGTCAAAAAGTGTTTTTGGACATTTTCACAATTTTCACATATTTTACAGTGTGTAAAATATGTGAAAATTGTGAAAATGTCCATCCTAGCCAACCACTCACCATCGTAACCCTTACCCGTGAGAAATGTCTGATATTAAGCCCCAAAAGACTGTAAAATGTCAGAAATTATTGGAAAGTACTGAAAAATGTCCATCCTCGCCAACCAATCGATAAGTTGATTTATCATTGCAGTCATAACCTATCCTATCGTAACCCTAACCCTAGAAAAATGTCAAAAATGTAGCCCAAAAAGATGGGAAATGGGGAAAAATGACCCTTCTAGCCTCTCAAAGGCCTAGTCTTGTCATTCTTAAACCCAAAGATATTGACTCTGTTTTTAAGACATTAACCAAATTGATAAATATTATTCTACATAATTTGAATTATTGTTGCTGTGTATGAAAAAAGCCAGAAAATAGGCCCAACAATGGTTGAATAAGTCAGGAAATAGTGAAACGGTCCATATTAGCTTCTCAAAGTTCAAGTCTGTCTTTAAATGTCTTGTTTTGTTCGTCTGAAACCCAAAGAGCAAAACAAATACAGCATTTGTTACATTTGAGAGGCAGAAAACAACATTTTAAAGAATTTTTGCATGAAAGATGAATGATTTGTTGTGAAAATAGTTTCTACTGTCCAGTTTATAGTATTTTTCTATCAAGTTTAATCGATAAGTTAATTTATTGGAGCAGTATAAGAAAAATGTCAGAAAACTTGCACACTTGTCAAAAAGTAGGTAAAATGTGTTTAAATGTCCAAAGACTTTAATATGAAACAGAGCAGCAAATCTCCAGATTAAAAACACACTGCAGAGACATTTCCAAATGAACAATTACTCACACAATGAATTATCGTTCAAAAACAGTAAATATCTCATCTTTAAAAGCTGTATTTCCCAGTCATGTGACCACCTCCCACTCACCTCTGCTCTGATTGGCTGTCCAGGTCTGTCTCGGGGAGTCGCCTTCATCCGATTCGATAAGAGGTCGGAGGCCGAGGACGCCGTCAAACACCTGAACGGCCACACGCCGCCCGGCACCTCTGAGCCAATCACAGTCAAGTTCGCTGCCAACCCCAATCAGGCCAGGAACTCCCAGATGATGTCACAGATGTACCACGGCCAATCACGGCGCTTCGGAGGGCCGGTGCATCACCAGCAGCAGAGATTCAGGTAGCCTCTCTAACCCTAATGCTAACCTCTCTAACCCTAATGCTAACCTCTCTAACCCTAATGCTAACCTCTTTAACCTTAACGCTTACTTTTCTTAACTTAATGCTAGCCTCTCTAACACTTATGCTCACCTTTCTAATGCTAACCTCTAACACGAATGCTAACCTCTCTAATGCTAATGCGTACTTCTCCAACCCTAATCTCATCCATTCACTGCTATGCTAACCTCCATAACCTTAAAGTTAATGTCTCCAATCCTAAAGCTCACCTTTAAACTTAAGGCTAGCCTCTCTAGCCCTAATGCTAACCTCTCTAGCCCTAATGCTAACCTCTCTAACACTAATGCTAACCTCTCTAACGCCAATGTTTACATCTACAACCCTAAAGCTCACCTTTAAACCTAATGCTAACTTTAATGCTAACCTCTCACAGGTAAAGTAATCTAATGTCAGGTAGCCGAATATCTCAAAGCTGTTAACATCGTGATTAAACAATGTCCTGCTCGCCTTAAAAAAACTCACTTCCTGTTCTCCTCCAGGTTTTCTCCAATGAGCGTTGACCACATGGGTGGCGGAGGGGGCGGAGTCTCGGGCAACCCCTCCGCCGGTTGGTGCATCTTCATCTACAACCTGGGCCAGGACGCGGACGAGGCCATCCTCTGGCAGATGTTCGGACCTTTCGGCGCCGTCAACAACGTGAAGGTGATCCGAGATTTCAACACCAACAAGTGCAAAGGCTTCGGCTTCGTCACCATGACGAACTACGAGGAGGCGGCCATGGCCATCCACAGCCTGAACGGATACCGGCTGGGGGACAAAGTCCTGCAGGTGTCCTTCAAGACCAGCAAGGGCCATAAGTAGAGGGGGCGGGGCCTGTAGGGAGAGGGGCAGGGCGTGTATGGAGAGGGGCTTGGCGAGAGGGGCGGAGCTTGGCGAGAGGGAGGGCTTGGCGAGAGGGAGGGGCTAAATCCTGCAGAGAGAGGAGGAAGAATTTAGTCCTGCAGAGAGAGGGGTGTGGCTAATTCCTGCAGAGAGAAGGGGAGGAGCTTAGTCATGCAGAGGGAGAGGGGTGTGGCTAAATCCTACAGAGAGAAGAGAGGGAGGGGCTAAATCCTGCAGAGAGAAGGGGAGGAGCTTAGTCCTGCAGAGAGAGATGGGGTGGGGCTAAATCCTGCAGAGAGAAGGGGAGGAGCTTAGTCCTGCAGAGAGAGATGGGGCGGGGCTAAATCCTGCAGAGAGTTAGTAAAAAAAAGAAGTATGTGAAAAATATTTAGTTTTTCAGTTGAGCCAAATTTTTCTTTGTGTAAATGTGAATACAAGTTTTTTTTTTTTTTTCCCAGCATGCCCAATTGAAAACATTTCAGACTTTTCTTTCTTTTTTTTTTTACATTTGAAGTGAAGCAGTCCATTTAGTTTTGATGTAAACACACTGAGGTCGTCCTCTCTTTGAAAAGAAAACAGCTATATATAAATATATGATTATAGCTGAATGTCAGTTTAAGTCGCTCACAGATTTTATTTCATATTTTTATAAATGGCTCTCGGGTAAAAACCCACCTGATGTTCAGACGCCATTTTTACCTGTATTTTAGTTTTTATTTTTAATTTGTATTCTGCTTTTGGATTGCAGCTCTGTTGTGATGTTGGACTGTTTATTCAATAAAAAAATCTGCTTATGTAAAAACAATGTGAAGTGTTGTGTTGTCCTCTTTTTCGGACAAACCGGTTCAAAGAGGTCCGCCCACATAACCCCCATACTTGCCCAACTACACTGGCTCCCGGTCCACTACGGGATCCAGTTGAAGGTTCTGCTCCTGACTCACAAAGCCCTGAATACCTCTGTGACCTCATCCGTACGACCCGCTCTCTCCGCTCCAGCCACGCTCCTGTTCTTTACATCCCCCGCACACGTCTCCGGACAATGGGAGACCGAGGGTGTTTCTCAATGTCGAGGACGCTTCCTTGGTAGGACATGTCTTCCGAGTCACTTCCTTCAGAAGCGAGGCAAGAATCCTTCCTAGTCTCGGAAAACGAATAATGGTGGAACAGGCTAACAGGCGTGCGTCCTATGCGAGGCTCCGCCTTAAAATGGAGCGCGATTTCCGCCAAAGATCCCTGGATATTATTTTATTAACTGCTTTCATCGCGACGCGATGTTTCCAGAGAGAACAGCTGTGAGGTCCGTGCAGAAAGCAGAGCAGTGTGTATCATATATATCACTCAGTATAACAGGCCTACTCTCTTTATTTGCTTTAGTTTAGTAGATATCTACAAACAAAGAGTCAATATTTTTCTAAAACCATTTAGTGCTTCACAAAATAAAATACACAACGGCTGTAGCCTGATGATATGCTTTAGGAGCTGTAGGTGCGTGTGTGTGGTGTAGGTGTGTGTGGTACAGTGTGTGCGTAGATGCAGCGGACAGACAGATCTCAGTTGGTTTGGTGTCCTCTGCTTACTTGTAATACTTGTAAATATTATTATTAAATATTTATAATCAAGCTTCTCGTTAAACACTGAGCGTTACGCTAACAAAGAAGTCCTCAGCCACAGAAAGAAAGTGATGATTATTATAGTTATTAATTGTATTTGCTGCAAAACCAAGTGTGCTGCTTTGTTACATACATCAGAATGGGGTTTATTGCCCAGTATTTTCACAATTACACAGAATATGCTGTGTTGTATAATAATGATTTGATAAACGGTAAAAGTATTTAAGTTGCATTACATGTTACTTCGTAGACGCTTTTATCCAAAGTGACTTACATACTCAATACTGTGGTCAATCCCCACAGGAGCACTTTGGGGTGAAGTGTCTCAGGGACACAACGACATGCTGACTGCAGTGGGGTTTGAACCTGTGCTCCCCTGATCCCAACGCATTAGTCCACTACGCCACAAGTTGTAATAAGGAGTACATATAGAACTGTTCAAAACGATTTAATTTGAAATAAAAAGGTTTTTAAGTCAGAATTATTGTTTTTATTATCGCTTATGTTTGTTTTGACTTTTTAAAAACATTCAATAAATGTTTTAAATGCATTTAATTGAGTTGAAATGAAGTCGGTAAATGCTGCAGTGTCTCCAGCAGAGGGCGCTGTTGTTCCACTTTCATTACTGCAGTCCAACCGCTGAGCTCAGGGAGCCTATCATCATAAAGCATTTTAATAAGGATTACATTAAAACTAAATATGATCATTTATTTAATTAAGTACATTTTTAAAATCCTTACCTTTAAAGAGCTAAATGTCAGTTATAATATTATTAATAATCATGTATTTGATAGTAAATGGAAATATTTAAAACTAATAATGATAATATACTTTATTTAAATAGTTATAAGTTTCAAAGTTCTTTAGAAGACAGAATAAAAACCAGGAGACATTGCATTAGAAAAAGTATAATAAAGAATATGATAATGAAAAAATCTGTGAATCCAGAAAAAAATTATAATATACAATTAAAATAAATATGAATAAATACTTAAATTTAAAAAAAAAAGTATTTTAAACATTAAGTGGAAACATAAAAAATAATTACAAAAACTTTTATATTGTTTAAAAAAAATTCAAAGTGGCTTACAAGAATACATTAAAATACTACAAAAAACAATAGTAAAAAAAAGGTAGCTAAAGAGAAAAGTAAACAACAGTAACATTGTCGAAGAAACACATTTGTATTGGTTTAATTTAATAAAAAGTAAAGTATTAGCAAGCATCTTCAAGAGGAGAGCTCCAATACTGTGTGTGTGTGTGTGTGTGTGTGTGTGTGTGTGTGTGTGTGTGTGTGTGTGTGTGTGTGTGTGTGTGTGTGTGTGTGTGTGTGTGTGTGTGTGTGTGTGTGTGTGTACTTGTGTACTTGTGTACTCCCACTCCCCGACAGTAAATACAAATTATTGATAAATTCAATGAAAAAACATAATATCTTCGATAAAGTTCATGGAAAGATTTAGAAAAAGTAATTATTAACCTTTTTAAAATATGTTTATATCAATCCTTTCGAAATAAAATTACTTTAATAAAAAAGTTGTTCATAGGTTTTCAAACTCTAAGGGCCTTTCTCATTTCTCTAACTCCCCTCCTCGACTCCTATCCTCGTGTCTTAGTCCCGCCCACAGGAGATGCGAGCAGAGGAGAGAGGAGTCAAGGAGTCGAGGAGTCGAGGAGGGGAAATTAGAGAAATAAGAAGGGCCCTAAGAGCTTAAAAGAAAAGTGAACAAAACATTAGAAAATCAACCAAATACAAGTTTTGTAAATCCACAGGTTGCTGTTTAACATTGTCGAAGTAACACATACAATTATTGGTATTTTGGAAAATGTTATTACGTCAACTTAATAAAAAGTAAAGACAAATGATTAATATAATATTATATAATATAATAGTTTTGATCAAGTTCATGGAAAGATAAAAAAATACAAATTATTCTATATTTTTAAATACCTATTGCTGTTTTCAAAATAAAATGACTAAGTGCTTTGAGTAAATTAAAATAGTACACAACCAATGAAAATAAACAATAACAAAGAAAAGTGAAAGAAAAGTGAAAGAAATCCACAAAATAAAAGTTTGGTGAATCCAAATAATTGGTATTTTGTCATTTTTATTACTTTAATTCAATACAATGAAGTGGTTTGAAAAATTAACAACAAAAAAACAACAGTGAAAAGTAAAATAAAAGTTAAAGAAATCATAAAATGAAGTAGTGTGAGTCCACAGGTTGATGAAGTAAATCATAAAACAAAACTTGGTAAACTTTTAAAATAACTTTAACTCAGTCCCCCCTCTGAGTGCTTCCTATTGGCCCGCCCTCGGTGCGTCTCCCCGGTTATGTAAATGCGCTCCTCCCGAATATGGACACGGAGGAATGAAGTATGGAGGACATGGAGGACCGACGAGCACCGTGAGACAGAAAAACACACTCTTTCTCCGGGGGCGAAACAGTCTCAGAGCCGCGGTGGATGTTCCTCCAGAGGGATTTAGAAGCAGCAGAGGAGGAAAGGACTTTTTTACCCCTCCGGATTCCTGGAAGTGATGCAGTGAGCGGCTCCTCTTCTCTCCCCGGGATCGGACGCAGGGCAGCGGGTCGAGGCGCGTCGCGATGCCGAGGCTGAGCTCCGGACGGCTGGGGGAGGAGCTGCCGCTGCCCGCCGGCTGGGAGGAAGCCCGGGACTGGGACGGGAGGCTGTTCTTCATCGACCACAACACCCGGCAGACTTCATGGATCGACCCCAGAGACAGGTAACTGCTGCAGGCCCGGGAACACGGGAACACGGGAGCACACACACTCTCACACACAGTTTAAACCCGTTTTCAGGCTGTTATTCCCCCTTGACTGTGACTCAGTACTGGAGACAGGATCCTACTGCAGTGATAGTATGATAGCGTACCACACAGTGATTTTATAGTATGTGCATAATCTGTAAAAAGGTCCTTAAAGTATTTGAAGTATGCTGCAGGTCGGGGACTACACACTCACACACTCTCACACACCGTTTAAACCCGTTTTCAGGCTGTTATTCCCCCTTGAATGTGACTCAGTACTGGAGACAGGACATGATCAATCTGTCAGCTCTCCTCCTGAAGTTTTGTGTTTGTTTTGTTGTTTTGTTGGTTGTCTGAGGTCTGGCAGCTCTCCTCCTGAAGGGCTTCCTAAACTAAAATCTCAATAATTCAACAGTAAAATGTGTTTATTTAGGCCAAACACTCAAAGCTTCCAGGTACCTTCATTGTAAAAGTGATCCTAACAAGTATTCAGAGCATTAAGTACTGATAGCCTAGCATACTTTAAAGTACACTTACTGTACTTGAGTAAAAGTATGTTTTCATACTCAGTAAAAGGTCCTTAAAGTATTTCAAGTATGCTGCAGGCCCGGGAACACACACTCACACACACTCACACACACACTCACACACACTCACACACACTCTCACACACTCACACACACCGTTTAAACCCCTTTTCGGGCTGTGATTCTCTTGAATGTGACTCAGTACTGGAGACAGGATCCTAAAAAGTATTAATTGCAGTAAAAGTACTGATAGCCTACCTATAGTATGTGCATAATCTGTACAAAGGTCCTTAAAGTATGTGGAGTATGCTGCAGGTCGGGGACTACACACACACACACACACACACACACACACACACACACACACACACACACACACTTCAAGGTTTGAATCAAAGTTAAGGTACTTTTCGTTTTTGGAGCAGTGCTTTCCCTTTAATGTGACTCAGTACTGGAGACAGGACATGATGGGGTCTGGCAGCTCTCCTCCTGAAGGGGTTCCCATGATGGGGTCTGGCAGCTCTCCTCCTGAAGGGGTTCCCATGATGGGGTCTGGCAGCTCTCCTCCTGAAGGGGTTCCCATGATGGGGTCTGGCAGCTCTCCTCCTGAAGGGGTTCCCATGATGGGGTCTGGCAGCTCTCCTCCTGAAGGGGTTCCCATGATGGGGTCTGGCAGCTCTCCTCCTGAAGGGGTTCCCATGATGGGGTCTGGCAGCTCTCCTCCTGAAGGGGTTCCCATGATGGGGTCTCACATGATGGGGTCTGGCAGCTCTCCTCCTAAAGGGGTTCCCATGATGGGGTCTGGCAGCTCTCCTCCTAAAGGGGTTCCCATGATGGGGTCTGGCAGCTCTCCTCCTAAAGGGGTTCCCATGATGGGGTCTGGCAGCTCTCCTCCTGAAGGGGT